AGTTTATAGATTATGGAATTTTAGTTCATTCATTCTGGAATTTTTAGTTCATAGATTAGATTATGGAATTATAGTTCATCGATTATGGAATTTTAGTTCATATGTTGTTTCTGGGAATCGAACCTGATTTTTTTTTAAGGGGAGACGCGCTTTTTATTAAAATGACGTCGTTTTTGCATCCGTATGCATCATGCATGGTGCATACGGATGCACAGCATAATTTGCCGTAAAGAGCAAAGGAAAATAGAGAGAAACTAGATTGCACAAAGGAATTTTTATTCAGCCTCTTCATCCATGTACAAAAGTTACAACGTATATATAATATACAAATGTAATAATGGGTACAATAATGATAAGCATAATGACAGACGTACTGTTACATAGTTACACTAATAATGTCCACTTAATATATAAATATATATATATATATATATATATATATATATATATATATATATATATATATATATATATATATATTTATTTATTTGTTTATTTATTTATAACAAATAGTTTTTTTTTTGTTGGTTTTACGGCTTGGAGTAGTCGGATGGCGGGCCAATATTATCGTAAAATACTAAGTAAGCAAAGGAATAATTGTAGTAAAAAGTGAGACAGAGTAACGATTTGTGTCCTGAAAATTCGGACCCCCTATAGTGTGACCCCAGGAGGGTATTTATACAAGAAATTTAATTTTTGCTTGAAGAAGGCAAGAAAGAAGAAATTAACTAAAATAATCTTAGGAAAGCTTCCAAATTCGGCGCAGTTCCTTCCTAATATGAAAAAGGAAGTTACTTGGCGTACAAGAAAAAAATCTTCGCTAAATCTACTCTTAACCGCCCCTAGCACGCGTACTCGGTCCGGGACACACTGGCTGGATGCCTAGTCTGGTCGCCCAACCGAGCCGACTGGTGAGCCGTCGGACTGTCATGCGATCATCAGATCAGCAGGGGGCCTTCTTCTCCACCTTGCTAAGTGTCTTAGGTGCCTCTACCCGACCGCCTACAGTGTACTAGGCTGGATGCCCAACCGGGGGTATCTATCACTTGGAACCTCATGCTTGGACCTTTCAATTTTAATACTAGCCTCGTGCAGGTACTCGGTCAGAGACACATTGGTTGCCTAGTCTAGTTGCCCAACCGAGTCGACTGGTGAGCTGTCGGAGTGTCATGTGATCATCATATTAGCAGGGGCTTTTTTCCCCACCTCGCTAAGTGTCTTAGGTGCCTCTACCCGACCGCTTACATCGTATTCAGCTGGATGCCCAATCAGGGGTATCTATCAGTTGGAACCTCATGCTTGGACCTTTCAATTTTTTTTAAATAGGCGATAATTTTAAAAATATTCATTGGCAAACAAATTTGTGTGCAAATTGAATAGTGTTGAAAGAGAATTTATGAATTCGGACATCCAAGTCTTAGATATCTCCCGGATGACCTCCGCTCTCTCCTAAGAATTGATTTTGATGGTGTTTCGCGTCAATGATTTATGTAATTTTTATCTTCTATATATTGCATAAGGAAAGCTTTGGTAAACTCATATTGCTATATATAGAAAAATAAAGAACAAATCGGAAATTCTAGTTCGACCACTTACATATTACAATATCAAGTTATAATTAGGTAATTATTTGTGATTTTCATCATAATATGATAAAATTAATTGTTAAAAAATAAAAAAAATAATTTAATTTAGACTAATTTAAGATAAATTGATGTAGTTTGTATGCTAACCAACAATAGTTTGCATGGTGCACACGGTTACAAAACGACGTCGTTTTGACTAAAAACGCGCGTCTCATTTAAAAAAAAAAATTCAGTTTCGATTCCCCTCAACAGCATTATTGTGGATATATAGTTATGAATTTGTGGATATGTAATTATGAATTTATGAATATTTAGTTCATTCATTCTGGATTTTGTGTTATTCATTCACTGTGGATATATAGTTATGAATTTGTGGATATATAGTCATGAATTTGTGGATATTATGCACAAAAAAATGCTATTGCCGGAAATTGAACCTGAATTTTTTTTTTTCTTTTAAAGTGGGACGCACATTTTTAGTCAAAACAATGTCGTTTTTGCAACCGTGTGCACCATGTACAAAATACACTCTAATTTGCGGTTAACAGTTGCACCGCGGTTGCACAACATAATTTGCCGTTAAGCAATCGATCAGGAAATCATAAGTACATACTTAAGAAAGAATGATATCTGGTTGAGTTGGAGATCGTTTGGTAGTGTTACCTGTACAAGATACACTCTATTTATTTCAAATTAATTAGTCTCACAAAGGTATACTCTATTTTATTTCTAATAGCTACGATTAGGAAACATAGGCTTGGGATATTATCAAAGGCCTTAAGCTTGCTTAGAAGAAAGGGTGTAGGAAAGTGGTTGTGGAATGCCATTTGGACAAAGTTGTCAGGTGGATTAATATATCCCTTGTAAATCTCTTATATTTTAAAAAATGGGTTTCATTTCCACATCATCCAATTTATAAATCATTTATTATTTACACTACATCCCTACAATCTAGTCAACTTTTAAAAATGGGCCCAATATATTAAAATAACATTATTAATTATATTAAAATATTAAAAAGTAAAAAAAAAAATAAAATAAAAATACAAAAGCTGCCGCAGCTTTTGTCAAGGTTTGCAAATTTGCAAACCCTATTCATCAAAAAAATAAAATAAAAAGGCTAATGCCACATTATCTTGCAAATGTACACATTTGCAGGGATATTTTCAGAACGAATATATTAATGCGGTGTATGTATAAACTATAAAGGCCTTATTGCCAATTTGGTTAATGATGCAATCAAAACATTATGAGAGATTGGTCTGGTTCATATTTACAGAAAGCAAAATAGCTAGAGTCACAAATGCGTTATTTAACAATCGTTATGCCTTGGACCCGTGCCGTTAGGCACTGTTATCTCCTTTTTTTTTTTTTTTTTTTTTTTTTAATTTCAGATCACTTTGTTATAGAAGTATATGTTCATAATTTTATTACTATATGTTAATAACTATACATTCATAACTCCATAACTGTACGTTCATAACTCTATAACTGTACATTCATAACTCTATAACTGTACATTCATAACGTCATAACTGTACATTCATAACTCCATAATTGTACATTCATAATTTTCGAAGCTCTATGTTCACAATTTTAGAGCTCTATGTTCATAATTTTATCACTATATGTTCATAATTGTAAGTTCATAATGTTAGAGCTCTTTGTTCATAATTCGATCAATAACTGTACATTCATAATTCCATAACTGTAGATTCATAATCTCATAACTGTAGACTCATAACTCCATAACTGTAGATTCATAACTCTATAACTGTACATTCATAATCTTCGAAGCTCTATATTCACAATTTTAAAGCTCCATGGTCATAATTTTATCACTATATATGTTCATAATTGTAAGTTCATAATGTTAGAGCTCTGTGTTCATAATTTCATAATTGCATAACTGTACATTCACAACAGCATAACTGTACATTCATAACGGTATAACTGTACATTCATAATCAAAAAAAAAAATAACGCCGTTAACGGCAAAACGCGCGCGAATTTTATTTTTTTTTTTTAACTAAATGACGCATTTTTTTTAAAAAACGATGTCGTTTTGGGCCCGTGTCCACAATTCATTGTGGACACGGGTCCAGGGCATAATTTGCCGTTATTTAAGAACCCTTTCTCTCATAGCAGGGGTATGGTGGTTTACAATAATAACTCACCGATGGACATCAAACAAGCTCTCCGGGCCATAATGGTGTCGTAAGATCTTCAAAGTATTTTGAGCCATGATATTGTAACGTTTTTCCCTCGTTTCGACAAAAAAAAAAAAAAAAAAAAAAAAAAAAAAAAAAAAAACATACATTAACCTTTTGGTATCGTATGTACTAGAAAAAGAGTTAATTCCAGCAAAGGTCCTCTGACTATAGTGATTTTCCATATTTAGTCCTCGTCTTTTAATTTGGACGAATTAAACCCTTGACTATCATAATCTTTCCACCATTGGTCCTTCCGTCACCTCACTGTTATTTTAACGTTAAGTCGAGGGGTATATTTGTCTTATCACAGCCTATGTGTCTTTCTCTTTGCTCTATTACACCGCCAAACAACACACCTCTCTCTCTCTCTTCATTTACCCACTATTCTATACTCAGCCCTCAGGAATCCACATTTTGCAAAGAGAGAGAAGCAACAGCGAAAAACATTTTATAGAGAGAGAGAGAGGCAGAGAGCCCAGATCAATTATATTCTAACTCATTATTAGTGGCCCTTTTGGATTCTCACTACAGGGAGCTATTTGAGCTTGTGGAGAAGTCGTTGTTGCTGCATGCAGATGCAGATGGTTGAAGAGGTTGTTTCTCGCCATAATATCACCATTTTTGCGCCGAGTAATGAGGCTTTGTAGCGAGATTTGAACTTGGAGTTTAAGTGATTCTTGCTTGAGCCTGGGAATCTGCGGTCTTTGTAGAATCGAATGTTCTTTCACATGATACCTACTCGCATTGAGGCAAAACATTGGCTTTAGGAGTCATAGGGAGCGCATAATCATTTCAGTTTATGCCGCGACTCTGGCGATAAGAATTTCGTAAAGAAGAAGCTGTTAAGATATTTTGTATCAATTAGTTGGTTGTATCAGTTAGGATATTTTCATTCATATGTCTTCCTAGTTTTCAGTATTTAAAAGGGCAGTAGACAGTGTACGCATAATCAATAGACAGAGCAGTTTTCTTCCTCATTCTTCATTCCAGACTTCATCTTTATGATATGGTAGAGAGGTGACCGCCGCATAATCATTTGAGTTCTTGATAGACAGCCTCAAAATTATCCGTAATTTTTCAACACCGTCACCGATTGTTTCTCCGTCGTCAATCTCCGGCTTTCTTTCTCTCACTCAAAATTTTCAAAAATGGCGATGAGACTGAATACTATCAGGCCACTAACAGTGGCCATGCTTGCAGTATGGGCGATCGCAGTGGTCTCAGCCCACCATCCAGCACCGGCGCAGCGGTGGATTGTAACAACATCATCCTCAACCTGGCAGATTGCATAACCTTCGTCACCAACGACAGCACCGAGGCGAAGCCGCAGGGGAGCTGCTGTTCCGGCCTAAAAATGGTGCTGAAAACCAAAACGGAGTGCCTGTGCAATGGGTTTAAAAACAGCCCTCTCTCTCCCCTCCGCTTACCATGTCTCCGCTCCCTCAGAGTTAGCAACAACGGCTTGAACATCGGCATCATTTCCTCCTCGCCATTACAGCCACCTCCAAGCTTAATTGCAGTCACACCTATAGGATCTAATCAGGTAGCGCCAAGGCTAACTCAGGGAGACCCACCGCCTTCTGCAATGACACCGGTGGGATCCATTGCCGCCACCCTGACCGCGGCAGCCGCAACAGCATTGCTGGTGGTGTTTTGAGACAGGGTTGAGAATTGTGTTTGTGATGTTTGATCATAGTAGTGGTATATTTAGTAGGTGGTGTTTGTTGTGAGGGAGAAAATGAGCATATTGGTCAGGTTTTGAATTGAATTTGAATGATTATAGATGGGGAGTATTATTATTGAAGAGGAGAGGATTTGAGGAAGAAGACGCTAAGTAAATGAAACGACCATTTTACCCCTTAATTTAACGCCAAAATAACAGTGAGGTGACGGAAGGACCGATAGTGGAAAGATTATGATAGTCAAGGGTTTAATTTGTCCAAATTAAAAGACGAGGACTAAATCTGGAAAATTACGATAGTCAGAGGACCTTTGCTGGAATTAACTCACTAGAAAAATGTGTAGCGTATAGTATAGTTAATTTATTACATATAAACTAAATAGTTATCATTAATTTAATTATCGATGATATATATTTTGTTATTTTAATTAAGTTGTTACAAAAATTAACAAGCGGGGATAGCTCAGATGGGAGAGTGTTAGATTGAAGATTTGAAGGTCAGGTGTTTGATCCATGTTCATTATATGGAAACAACATTGCCACCGATAATTGTAGATAATATATTAATTGTTTGTAAAGAATTTGGATCAAATCAACAATGTTTTTGTTTAACTAGATGATGTTAGAGTTAATTTCATTTTTGTTCTAGATTTATAGGTGACAGTTTTTTTTTTTTTTTTTTTTTTTTATCAAATCATTCCATTTTGGTTCTAGTATTATTGTGACATGACCAATTTTGGTATTCCATCAACAAAATCGTTGAAATTTTGTTAAATTGGAGGACATTTTGATTTTTTTTAATACAAAGTGCGTTGACCACCAGTTATATTCTTTATGTTTATTTTTATTTTTTGAAAAAATTCATAATTAAGAGTGAAATGCCCTTTTATTTAATGAAATCTCAATGATTTTTTTATAAAGGACCAAAATTGGTCAGGTCACAATAATACTAGAACTAAAAAATGATGCTTTGATAATAAAAAAAAAAAAAAAAAGACTAAAAGCGGACTGGCACATATAATTCTAGGACCAAAAATGGAATTAACTCATGATGTTAATACAACATTGCTACCCATGCATAAATGTAGATAATATATTAATTGTATGTATATAATTTGGATCAAATCAACAATGTTTTTGTTTAACTATTAACAACATTGCCACCCATAAATGTAGATAATATATTAATTGTATGTATATAATTTGGATCAAATCAACAATAAAGTTTTTGTTTAACTAGATGATGTTAATACAACATTGCCACTGCACCCATAAATGTAGATAATATATTAATTCTATGTACATTTTTTTTTTTGAATGCTATTAGCTCTATTACATTGTAGTATCTGTTCATATACTTTCTCAATCTACTGAAACACAACGAGCTAATAACGCCTCCATTGAGACTCGAACTTACAACCTTCAAAATGAAAGTCCAACCCGGGTAATTCTATGTACATAATTTGGATCAAATCAACAATGTTTTTGTTTAACTAGATGATGTGGAAAATGAGGTGATTCTTTTAATTTGTTTTTGTTTAACTTTGCAAAGCGATGAGCTTTCTAAATTAGAAATCCTTTTTATTTAAAAAAATTGAAATCCTTTTGTGTACCTTTTTATTTATTTTTATTTTTATTAGTTATTTTATTATTCTCTTGTTATTATCTTTATAATATAATATGAAAGTGAAATCACTTTTGAAAGTGAGAAAATATTATAGAGTTGTAGAGAAAATAGTGAAGAAATTATAAAATTGATTATGTGAAAGTAAGACTCATTTTTAAAGTAAGAGAGTATTGTAGAGATAAAGATAGTCTAACGATTACATATGCATATATATATATATATATATATATATATATATATATATATATATATATATATATATATATATATATATATATATATATAGAGAGAGAGAGAGGAAGGTTCAAGTGCGGTAGTGCACTTAGGTGCGGCGGTGCGGTTAATTGTAGGCCATCAGGTTAAATAAATCCAACGAATCACATTCATCAAGGCTTTTCCGATATTTTCGCGCGCGTTCTCACAGTACGCGAACTGCAAGGTTAAAGTCGTCATTGGGCACCAGAATATATCAAATCATAGTGTTGTGTGTTTTATGTTCATTATTGGTGCATTATTAACCTTACTGTGGTGTATTTGAGAATTCGTGTTGGTGTCTTCCCGAGCGGTCAGTGCGACCGCACTAATAGTTATACAAATATACACTATCCATGTTAGAAAATGCACACCAAAAAAATATGCACAAATTCGATACGCATCACCAGAACGCACCACTAGGTATGACTAATAGCATCACAGAGTGTTCAGAATAGACCATTGGGGTGGTGAGTTATATGGTATATTTTTTGGGTGTGTTGTGTGTTTTTTGGTGTATTTGTGCATTTCATTGTGGTGCTTTTTCCTAACACTATTGGTGTCGTTTGTTAACACTGTTGGTGTATACTGACAAGCGACCGATATAAAAAATCACTACAATTACCATAATACCCCCCACTTACCAGGACGCGCTTAAATCTTTAAATCTTCAGAAATTAGCCGTTGCCGTTAGATTAAGCAAAATTGACGACGCTGATATGGCCGCACCGCCGCACCTAAACGAGTCGAGCCGAGCTCGAGCCTGGGTTTGTTCGAGCTCGAGCTCGTTAAGGAAGGCTCGCTCGAGCTCGAGCTCGACTATTTTCGAACGAGCTCGAGCTCGATTTTGACCTCAAACGAACCGTTGGCCAGCAGTCTTACGGTGTCTCTGTATCTCTTCTCCATGTTGTCATCGTCGACTATCATCTAGACTCCAGAGTTAGGGCTTGGGGGGAATGGGGGCGAGAGTACGGGACTACGAGAGTACTGGAGTAGGGTAAGCCTTAGACGATAGTAAAATTTTAATTTTTGATAATAATAATAATAATAATAATAATAATAATAATAATAATAATAATAATAATAATAATAATAATAATAATAATAATAATAATAATAATAATAATAATAATATTATTATTATTATTATTATTATTATTATTATTATTATTATTATTATTATTATTATTATTATTATTATTATTATTATTATTATTATTATATAAGGCACACGAGCAGCTTGTCGAGCCACGAGCATAAGATATGTGAGCTCAGCTCGAGCTCTGTTGGTCCTGGTAGGGTCTAGCGAGAGTCTAGAGGGGGGGGGGGTGAATAGACTCTAATCGATTTTTCAAATAAACTCTTTTCGGAGTTATGCACAACGGAAATAATATTCTGATTTAAGTGATCTTTGCACACTTTCGTTGAAATAAAACTTAGCGGTTGGTCGATATGATATGCGATGCACGAAAGTAATAGCAGAATGTAAAGAGGTAAGGAGAGAGAGAATTTTATAGTGGTTCGGCTGTTAACGAAACCTACTCCACTCTTCTTTCACAACTCGTGAAAGGGTTTGCACTATCACTTCTAGTACAAACTACTTCAAGCTGGCTTCCTTGATCACTAAGCCGAACAGCCACTTGACAGGTTTTTCAACTCCTAGAGTTTACTCCGCCTATATCAACTTCTTCATAAGTTGAGATGTTGGAAAGATAATCTGATGTTTCTCCAACAGGTTGAAGCTTGTCTTGACGTCTGGATTGATCTTCACATGAGCAAATACAAGACTGCTTCAAGTTGTGAACTGTGAGGATGAATCTGTCTCTAAAAAACTTCACAACTGACACGGGTTATGAAAAGCTTTAGAGAATGAAAACCGTTTGAAGAGCTTTTCTTAAGATCGCAAGAGTGAGTTAACCAGCACCTTCTTCAATGGTGAAGAGAAGTATTTATAGGTGGAAAAATCCATCCGTTGGAAGGAGATGAAAATTTCAAACCTAAAAACCAGTGTGTATTACCCATTGAGCATTGAGCATTTAATGCACTTGTACTGTATAGCCATTGGAGCCAAAAGCATTGTGGCTTTTGTCCTTAATCTTTGACATGATGGTACAAGTCTTTTAATGCTCATTGTCTTTAGTGAAAATCATTCCTAGGACACTCTTTGTCCGAATGATTTGCCCATCTGAGTAATAGACAACATTCTCATTGCTTCACTTAATGAGTGTTGTCTTTTTACAAGTCTGTCCTTGACTTGTTCACTTAGGAATGATGAACGAAAGGATTGTCCTTATCTTTCGTCCTTCCTTCTTAGACGAAGGTTCCTTTTGTAGAGGCAGTCTATCCGAGACTTGCTTAATCCTTCATTTGTCTGGAAGCATCTTTCGATCATCTTCGAATCTTCATGTAAACTTATTATACTAGTCTCGTGCATGGTTTAACATCTCATGCTTCTGTCATACAAGACTTATCTAACGAACGAAAAATAGGGGTCTACAATCTATGACAGTTTGGTATCATCAAAATCTAAATACACTTGTTTTTAACAAGCTCGATAAGTAAACGAGCCGCTCGAGCTTGATTTTGACTGAGCTCGAGCCAAACTTTGACCGAGCCGCTCACGAGCGGCTTGGCTCATTTACACCCCTATTATATACTATGTGGTGAGATTATGGTACTCAAGTAACTCAACTGCCTAATGATATAGTCCCAACGATAGAATAACAATAACCTAAGTGCCCAACATCATCAATCTACTAGTCTCTTATTTGGAAAATTATGCTAAGATGAACACGGTTTCAAAACTGTTCATAATTGCGAATATAGAGTTCAAAAATTATGAACATAGAGTTATGAACATAGTGTTTTATAATTATGAACATAGAGTTCTATAATTGTGAATATAGAGTTTAATAATTGTGAATATGAAGTTCAAAATTTATGAACATAGAGTTCAGTAATTATGAACATAGAATTCTGTAATTGTGAATATAGAGTTCAATAATTGTAAATAAGAAGTTCAAAAATAATAAATATAGAGTTTAGTAATTATGAACATAGAACCGTATCTATTTTGCAAGGTGGACACGGTTCCACT